TGTTTAAAGACAACAAAAGTGTCACATAACTCGATTACTTCAACAATTATTTATTTTTGGAAACTTTTCTAACAATATGTTCGCCTCTAGATAATTGCAATAACCGTTGAAGAAGAGGAGGATGTTACAAAAATTAAAGACTATCAGCCTTCAACATCAGATTCTGCATTGGAGTCCAAAACATCACCTACTCCAAGTCCACCAAAAGAAGAGACTGAAGCACCTCCTTCTGCAGGAAGTCTCATTTTTACCGGTCCTCTTGCCAAGAAACTAGCTGAAGATCACAATGTACATTCTATGCTACAATAATCTTATCAACAATGTTTCCTTGGAAAACAAGAGTTAGTTTCTTACGGCGTCTTTCCTGTCTTGCTGTCCATGTGTTATCATGAAATTAGATATCCCTTTCAACCATCAAAGGAACTAGTCCTGATAGACGAATTGTGAGGGCCGATATTGAAGGTTATCTTGGTATTTTTCTTCAGCCTCTTTTTGAACAGATTTTTCTGCATCCTTGTTTACATGTAGTTTATGCACTAATGGACTGATTCACGGAGCTGTCTAAATTTTTGATCTTTGGTGGAATAAAGCGTGCATTGCTTATTTCCCATATTTCTCTACTCTATAATCATTGACTCGATTGCTAAATGATTTAGTAACCTATTTTACCGTCTGCACTGTAGATTCTCGTGGCAAGGAACCTTTGCAAGCTCCCAATGCTGCTGCCACAGATGCTGCTGGTCTAGATTACACAGACATTCCACACTCACAAATTAGAAAGGTTCGGCTTCACCATTCTCATCTTCAGGACCAATATATTACTGCTTTTATGAAATTTTATATCTAAGATTTGACAAAAATTATTCTAGTCTAAGTTATACAAATCCTGGCCATGCCCGGTCAGCCAACTTGTGCCAGGGAAGTTATGCAATCATTTTCAGAATACGTCTTAATGTTCTTAATATGGCAAAGTATTTGGAGTTCTGGTTGCTCTCTTTTGCAAATCTTAGGTTGAATGCATTGCAAGAAGCTTCAGGCGGGAAGAGGATATCCATTAATGATCTTGTAATTAAGGTATTGCAGACTTTGGCACAATCTCAATTTCTTTTTCTTCATATATATTATACTAAAAAAATAAAATAAAAAATAAAAATTTGAGGGAGGTTTCTGTGTGGGGTAGGTGGGTTTTTGAGGGTGGGGGTGGGAGTGGGAG